GGGGAGGGGGTGGCGGGGGGGGGGGGGGGGGCTGGGGCCGGAGCCCCCAGGGTCTCACGGTGCTGTGCTGGGGGCACAGGATTTCCTGGGGCAGGCGTTCGTGGCGCTGGGGGAGGTGATCGGGTCCCAGCGGGGCCGCCTGGAGAGAGCCCTCACGTGAGTCCCGCACTGTGTCCCCAGCCACCGTGTCCCCAGCCACCCGCCCCGCGGGACCCCTCCCTGCATGTCCCCTGCTGGGGACACCGGCCGCGCTGCTGAGCACCAGCCGTGGGCCACGAGCCCAGACCCCAACCCCACCTCCTGCCCCTGTCCCGTCCTCCTCGTCCCCAAGCTGACTGGGTGCCTCTGGTCCCAGGGGGGTCCCGGGGAAGCGGTGTGGGACCATCCTGCTGCTGGCCGAGGAGCTGAGCAACTGCCGGGTGAGTGCCCGTGTCCCGGCAGCGGCGAGGCGAGGGCTGCGTGGCCCCCCCGGTGCAGGCGGCTGCTGGGGCCGGGGGCAAGGAGGTGGCCGGCAGTGACGGTCCTTGTCCCCAGGACATTGTCACGATGCAGCTGTGCGCCAACAAGCTGGACAAGAAGGACTTCTTCGGAAAATCCGACCCCTTCCTCGTCTTCTACCGCAGCAACGAGGACGGCACGTGAGCGCGGGGAGCCGGTGGGACGGGCAGGGTGCCAGCGTCACCGTCCGGCGCGCCCCGACCCTGCCCTGTCCCCGCAGCTTCACCATCTGCCATAAGACGGAGGTGGTGAAGAACACGCTCAACCCGGTGTGGCAGCCCTTCACCATCCCCGTGCGCGCCCTCTGCAACGGCGACTACGACCGGTACGGGGATGGGGACGGGGCAGCCATGGGGGCCGAGCGGGTATGAGCATCTCCTTCGCGGGTTTGGCCCCGCAGCCGCAGGCAGCTCAGAATTGGGTCTTTATTGGGTTTTTTTTCTTCTTTTGCAACCCAAATTACATAAAGGCATCCCCCTCCTTTCCAGGGCCCCCGCTGTGACCCAAATTTCCCGCTTCCCTCCCAGCAGAGATGCGGGCCGGGCAGGCGGGGCGGCTCTGCTGGCGGCTGGCAGGGAGGGTGCTCACTGCTGGGGTGCTGTGGCGCTGGGTGTCCCCAAACCCGGGGGCCGGTGGGGGCCGTGCCAGCCAGGCTGGCAGCTCACCCTCTGCCCGCCTTCGCTTTTAGGACAGTGAAGATAGATGTGTACGACTGGGACCGGGACGGGAGGTGAGGCCATGCCCGTAGGGTGGCAGGGGACATCAGAGTGCCGCCGTCACTTCCCAGGGTGCCCCTCAGTGGGGTGCCTGGCCGTGCCGACCCCGCGCTCCTCCCGCAGCCACGACTTCATCGGAGAGTTCGCCACCAGCTA